ACTAGCGGTTAGCTCACCGACTAGCAGTTAGCTCACCGACTAGCGGTTAGCTTACAGAGTAGCGGTTAGCTTACAGACTAGCGGTTAGCTCACCAACTAGCAGTTAGCTCATGACTAGCGGTTAGCTTACAGACTAGCGGTCAGCTTACAGACTAACGGTTAGCTCACCGACTAGCAATTAGCTCACCGACTAGCTGTTAGCTCACCGAGTAGCAGTTAGCTCACTGAGTAGCGGTTAGCTTACAGACTAGCGGTTTGCTCACCGACTAGCGGTTAGCTCCTTAGTCTTGTCAGAATACTGAGCTGCAACTCAGAGAAACAAAACTCACGGAAACTGCTACAAACGTACGACTGAAAACTGAAAAAATGGCAACATTCCCGTGAATGACCTGCTGTTTGTTTTTGTTACAACTTAGCCACAAATTAGTGTTTTAAATGTCTCAATTTGATCCCAATTCAATTATTTTTTGTCTCTAATCAGGGTTTAGTTTCACAGGTCACCAAACACTCCTAAAGTTCTCACACTTCCTGACTGCAGGTTGACTTGTGAGTTTTTCTACGATCTTATTTTAAATAAAGTATCAGCCAATTATTCAGTCTTTGTTTCTAACTCACAGAAACTTACGAGTTGAAGATGTGTTTGAGTAAATTTAACTTGATCATTTCAAACTGTGACTCAAACCCTTAAAACAGTTTGGACACATTCACAGACATAACGTTAAACCATACTGGGCAACATATGGCCCGAGGGCCAAAACTGGCCTCTGGACAATCTCCTTCAGGCCCTGAGGAAAAACTGTCTTTTATCAATGAAACTTAAAGAAGTTTGAATTGAGCATCTTGGACAAATATACTGAAAACTTTTGGATGAAAATAGGCTAAAAAAAAATTCTTCTCTTGTTGCGTTTTCAGAGAACTGAACCTTAAAGTCTCAAAAAAGCAGCATAACATTTTTAGGCTAATATATTGTCCATGAGCCAGTTTACAGAAAGCATGCTTTGGATTCCCAAAGAGTATTGGGAACAGTTTTTATTCAAGCATGTTAACTATCCTTCAACAAAAAAAAAGGCCTGGAAAAAGTCTGAAAATGTATTTTCCAATTCTCCAAGCAGCCCTTCCAGGTGCTTTAACCCCCCTGCTGCCCATGGGTCCAAATGACTCACGAGGCTCCAGTGTTAAGACTGAGGCCCCATGAGTCAGTTTTATTCAAGGGTAACAGGGAGGTTAAATATCTAGATTTTACTCTCTTGAAAAACCTGATGCCCGCTCCTGATCCACTCCTCCAAACTGAGGTGGTTCACACAGCCATCTACAACAGGTAAAATACTGACGGCTATGACTTTTACACACAAGCCCTCTTCAGATGACTGAAGTAGCTCTTAGTCTTTGTGTGGGAATCTGCTGCTTTAACAGTTATTTACTGATGATGGTTTTCAGAAACCCGTGTGAGACCCCCGGTCCTGGTACCAGAACCTCTGAGGTCTGAGTCCAACGTCAACAAGCTGCAGAGGACTCGTAGCACCAAGTGAAGCTGGTAACACGATGATCCCTGTTCCCTCAGTAACTACCACCAGTTTTAGTCCATTAGTGGAGACAGGTCTGGTGATTAGTTTGAATAATTTTCACACTCGTTGAATAGATTAGCAGATTATTAATCTCACCTCTGATTTCACAATAAAACATTTGACCTCTCAGTTCATCTGCGTCTTCGACGGGGGGGACAAAAGGAGCTTTTAATTCCATACAGAAAAACACGGAGCTACTTTTCAAACGTAATGAAACTGCAGCAGAAGCCATCAAAGCTGGAGCCATGCAGCTTCTTGTTTTACAGTAGTCTTCCACAGTGGGTTCATCTTCCACAGTGGGTTAATCTTCCACAGTGGGTTCACCCAGAACATTTCATTTAACAGTGCTTTTAAAAGGTGCTGGTTCAGTGCTGGACGTGACGACGGCTCAGTGGTTCTTGAAGAGGCTCCACGATGCGTTCAAAGACGGAGCTGATTTAAAAACAAAAACCAGTGTTAGACTCCGAGGTTCAAGCAGAAAGTCTAAACAACCTTCCTGCTGCCCCGGGGTTCAAATCACTCACAAGTCTTCAAACTGAAGCTTCGGGGTTGTTTTGACCTGAGGGCAGCAGGAAGGTTAAATAAAAAAAGATTACCTGATGGAAGGAAGAGAAACTCCTTTAGGTGAAGAAACTGAAAAAGAAGAGAAGAAGAATCTGTTCAAATCACATCAGTTCGGTGAGGAACAGTTCAGTTCAGGACACGGAGGGCTAGTCTGGGGATTTGGATCAAGTTTTCTGCACAAGGCTAAACTACCGAGCTGCACAGAGTCCACCCTGCGGACTGAAAGGCTCCAAAGACGGAGACAACTGTTGAGGTCATGATTCTGAGGCTTTGTGATGGTAACTCCAGCTGGACTCTCATATGCTGCCACCATGGTGATAAACAACGAGGACGTCTCTACGGGACTTACAGGCACGCTCCAAACCACCGGGGACGTATCACACTTTACCAAGAGTCATGGAGAGCCCACTGCATTTGTAACGTGCCCCTGAAGACACAGTCAAGACCATCCATGTTCTGGATCATTTTCTGAAGGAGGAATTCTTTCATTTACAGACTTCATGTTAGGGGTGCAGAAAAAAATGGATTCATTAAAGAATCTAGATTCTTAGTTCTGGAGATTCTGAATTCATTCTAAAGGCTCATAAATCCATTTTAAAACGTGTTTTATTTTCTTCCACTCCTACTCCCGACGTGTCCGCTCGGCCGCCATAAAATTTGTCCTTGTAGGCCACCGTACAGCAAGCTAGTTAGCCAGCTCCCTTTATCTGAATGTAGACTACTAGCGTGGAGGAGGACAGAGTGATTCAACCTGCTCCTTCATTGTTAAAAGTCGGTGTAAAGTCATTTCAGATGCTACAATGTTCCGGGGAAGACAGAGCTTGACAAGAGCACGGTTGTTTGCAAGAAGTGTGAAAGAAAATTGTGGTACAGTATTTTGGAAATATGACAAATGTGCGGAAGGAAGATGAAAAGTGAAGCAGCAGAGCAGCTGCAACAACCTTCCAGCTGATTGTCCAAGCACTCCATCTCCTGCTATAAAGGATTTACGAGCAGACAGCTCAGTGGAAGGTGAGGGGTTTAGGTTGATTTTTAATACGCTGGACCCAACGTACGTTATTACTTCAAGTAGTTGTTTTAGTAATAAACCTGCGCCACAACTCCACCATGAAACAAAGAATAAAGTGGGATAAGCTGATGCTGCCAGCTGCAGCTCAAAGGGTAAATGTTTCTCATATTATACTAAAACTTATAGACGAGTTATACAACAAATTAATGTAATTTGTCTTTTTAACAGATGAGACACATCACCTGCAGCCAGTTCTAAATGATACAATTTATGGTTTATAAATTACAGTTCAGAAGAGTTTTTGTGCAAACTTGCACAGGTTCTGAAATTTTGTTAAAGATTTACTAAATATGAATCAATATGGTTAAGACTGTGAAGTCTGTATATTTTATATTAAGTGGAGTTTTGAAAATATAACAAATATTAGAGCAATATGGTTAAAAAAACTGTGAAGTCTGTATTTTATTTTGAGTTAAAGATTGATGTAGTATGGTAGGCTGAAGTATTTGGTTACTTTTGTATTTATATATACAATACAGTAGTCCCTCGCTACTTCGTGGTTCGTTTATCGTGGACTCGCTCAATCGCGGTTTTTCAAAATAAAATTGGATGCGACACACAATTGGCTGATTGATGGATGAGCCGCACAGTCGGCATTTAAAATAAATTATTTTAAATTATTCAGCACCTGCTGCAGCTTTGTGCAGCCTATAATGAAGGATAAACTTCCTGCTGCAGCTGATCAGCTGTTCACCATGCAGAGCGTAGAAGTGGGCGTGGCAAAGAGTGCTTGCAGGTGGCAAAGAGCAGAGGAGGCAGGGAGCGGAAATCATGACATTCTGTGCTCTTTTAGAGAGTTTAGAAACATTGTTTAGAATATTGCAAGAGTGTGAGAAGGGTTTAAAACATTTCAGGGTACGGATCCCCCATGATAAACGAGGGACTACTGTATTTTGAATTACTTGTCTGTGATGGACTGGAGACCTGTCCAGTGTGTCCCCCGCCTCTCACACAGTGATAGCTGGACATGGGTACCAGTGACCCCCCCTTGAACCAAAAAGGAAGAAGTGGGTAAAGATAATGGATGGATGGATGGATGGATGGATGAATTATGTTCCTAGATTATTTTTTAATTTTAAACTAAGCTCACCTATTAAGTAATTTAAGTTACAGAATTTTAGGCAATCCTATATTTGTTCCTATTTTTGGTATAGATATAAAATGATGCAAAAAGATTTGATACAGAAAAAACTAAAATTAGTGTTTCAAATTCCAATTTCAATTTTTTTTAAGTTCCATTTGTTTCCATTGTTGTTTAATCTTTTCATCTAGTCAAATACACAATTTAAACAAACTATGACCATTTCAGTAGAAAAATTGTTTCTGAATCGAAAATCGTTTCTGAATCAAAAAACATTTCTAAATCGAATAGTGACACCAAAAATAGGAATCGAATCGCCAGACACAGAGATTTGCACCCCTACTTAAAGTGCAGTGTCAGAACTGGTGTGTTTGAGTGCATAAACAGATCACAGAAGATTTTTTAAATGTACAACAAAGCAACTGATAAAACACCCCAATCATGTGAATATGTAGCTGAATGGACTTGAACATAGTTTGCGTGCTTTATTAAATGAATTAGCAAAGAATCAAATTTTGACACTCCACCTAATGGAAAACATACATATATATGATGCCATCTCCACATCATTGCATTCAGTTTTTATTCACAATTTGTTTAGTGTCCCAACTTTTTTGGAATCCGGTTTGTATATATGACTTTAGCTCCAGAGTTAATATACAGGTCCTTCTCAAAAAATTAGCATATTGTGATAAAGGTCATTATTTTCCATAATGTAATGATAAAAATGAAACTTTCATATATTTCAGATTCATTGCACACCAACTGAAATATTTCAGGTCTTTAATTGTTTTAATACTGATGATTATGGCATACAGCTCATGAAAACCCAAAATGCCTGTCCCAAAAAATTAGCATATTTCATCCCACCAATGAAAGACAAGTGTTTTTAATACAAAAAACACCATCCTTCAAATAATCATGTTCAGTTATGCACTCAATACTTGGTCGGGAATCCTTTTCAATTCAATTCAATTCAAAAATACTTTATTAATCCCAAAGGGAAATTATTTGTTGTTGTAACTCGTCATCCTCATTTCATTAAGAGATGCTGTAGGTAGGAAGGATCTCTTGAAAAGGTCCATCTCACAGTGGATCCTAAGAAACTGGCTGCAGATGCCGTCCGATCCGTCCACCCAGACTCGTCTGGCCTCTTGGTTCCTCCGGGCTGTAGTACCGCCTGAATGCCGGGCAGAACTCCTCCCAGAGCGACGGCCACTCCTCCAAGCAGTCTGCCGAGCTCCTCGTCGCTGTGGACAGCCAACTGTAGGTGCTGAGGGACGATCCTGTCCTTCCGCTGTCATGAGCCATGTTTCCTGCTAGTTCAAGGATCTCAGTGGTCAGGCACTCGAGCACAGCTGGCAGGTAGATGAGAATGCATCCACATAACATCCTTTTCAACTCATTTGAGAGTTGGGGCCATAGTTGAGATATTATTTGAGCTTTTAATCAGCTGCTGTTGTTGTAGAAAACTGCCTTGTTGCCATGGTTACGCATCATAACAAATGTCCAAAACCAAAAAAGTTTCAGTAAAAATCCTTCCGGCTGCACAGCATCTGATACCAGAGAAAACAATCATCAAAAAAAAAAAGTGATTTACATCCAGAAAACCAGGGATTAAAGGTTCCAAAAGCAAAATCTCAGAATGAAAGTAACAGAGCTGCTCCAACATGCAGCCACCTTGAGCGGCGCAATTCTGCAATGACTGCTTCAATGCGGCGTGGCATGGAGGCAATCAGCCTGTGGCACTGCTGAGGTGTTATGGAGGTCCAGAATGCTTCGATAGCGGCCTTAAGCTCATCCAGAGTGTTGGGTCTTGCGTCTCTCAACTTTCTCTTCACAATATCCCACAGGTTCTCTATGGGGTTCAGGTCAGGAGAGTTGGCAGGCCAATTGAGCACAGTAATACCATGGTCAGTAAACCATTTACCAGTGGTTTTGGCACTGTGAGCAGGTGCCAGGTCGTGCTGACAAATGAAATCTTAATCTCCATAAAGCTTTTCAGCAGATGGAAGCATGAAGTGCTCCAAAATCTCCTGATAGCTAGCTGCATTGACCCTGCCCTTGATAAAACACAGTGGACCAACACCAGCAGCTGACATGGCACCCCAGACCATCACTGACTGTGGGTGCTTCACACTGGACTTCTGGCATTTTCTTCTCCCCAGTCTTCCTCCAGACTCTGGCATATTGATTTCCAAATGACATGCAAAATTTGCTTTCTTCTGAAAAAAGTACTTTGGACCACTGAGCAATAGTCCAGTGCTGCTTCTCTTTAGCCCAGGTCAGGCTATATATATATATATATATATATATATATATATATATATATACACACACACACACATGTATACAAACCGGATTCCAAAAAAGTTGGGACACTAAACAAATTGTGAATCAAAACTGAATGCAATGATGTGGAGATGGCGAATGTCAATATTTTATTCGTAATATAACATAGATGACAGATCAAAAGTTTAATCTGAGTAAATGTAACATTTTAAAGGAAAAATATGTTGATTCAAAATTTCACAGTGTCAACATATCCCAAAAAAGTTGGGACAAGTAGCAATAAGTGGCTGGAAAAAGGTAATTGAGCATATAACGAACAGCTGGAAGACCAATTAACACTAATTAGGTCAATTGACAACATGCTTTGGTATAAAACGAGCTTCTCAGAGTGTCAGTGTCTCTCAGAAGCCAAGATGGTAAGAGGATCACCAATTCCACCATTGTTGCGCAGAAAGATAGTGCAACAATACCAGAATGGTGTTACCCAGCGTAAAATAGCAAAGACTTTTAAGTTATCATTATCAACCGTGCATAACCTCATCAAAAGATTCAGAGAATCTGGAACAATCGCTGTGCGTAAGGGTCAAGGCCGTAAAACTCTACAGGATGCTCGTGATCTCCGGGCCC